AGTATATTTTGCTGTATGAATATTTGAATATGCAATACACCAAAATAAAGATCAGAGCCTCTATATTTAAACAAAAAAATCTGCTTTATTCTAGCTTAAAGCATTCATTTTACTCTAACATTATGCAGTTTTCATTTATATGCTGTCTATTGCTGATGATCGCATTATTTTTCAAATGCATCTGTTTAGATAAGAGATCGCTCGTTTCTCTGTCCTGTTCACGTGTGTTTTTGCTCGGGAGGTTTTGTACTCGTTCAGAAGGTGTGTAATAGCGCCCCCTAGTGTATAACAGTGAAAACACGGAAAGCCGTAAAAACTCGTCTTTGGCGGGGAAGCATTTTCTTGTAAAAGACGAGATAACTCGTCAATGGCGGGGAAAGAGTTAATAAGCAGTAACTAGGAGTTTATTGAGCCAGAAGTCATAGTTAATAATTAGTTAATAGTGAGAACTGGACCTTAAAATAAGGTGTGACCGTTAAACACATAGCGATGCCCTGGTAACTACCCAAAACATCCTAGCATCCAATGCCCAGGCAACCACCCAAAACACACTAGTAAAACGGGTAAAACTTTAGTATAGGGACCAATTCTCACTATTAACTAGTTGCTTATTAGCATGCATATTACAAGCATATTGGCTGTTTATTAGTACATATAAAGCACATATTCTGCATGACCATTTTACACATCCTTAATCCTATCCAATACCTAAACTCAACAACCACCGTACTAACTATTAATAAGCAGTAATTAGGAATTTATTGAGCCAAAAGTCATAATAGGTTGTTTGCAATCACGTGATTCTGATGACGTGCGAAATGCAGCTGGAAGGCAGAAATTGATTTTTCTCCATAGAAATCACTAGCAGAAACTCAAAATGCCAGTGTTTTGCATTGTTTATGGATGCTCAAATTTGACAAACCGAGAAACCACAAGGAGCTTTTATCGTGTACGAAAATGTGTTGTTCATAAGTGGGGAAAAGTCAAGAAATTGATTGAAAAACGCAGGAAAAAGTGGCTTGTAAACCTGCGTCTGCGGTCGGGAGGAGCGGAGCCGGATAATGCTCGTGTGTGCAAATGGTTAATATAAGATAATAATATATAAAAATATTAATAAAGAAATAATATATAAATAGATACAGGGTGACACTGTCAGAATTCACTGAATGCTAAACGCCACACATAGACACGATGTAAATAAGATATTGTTTGCAGTTCACGGAATCGTGAGATTGCGATAAATTGAAGCGAGTGACAGCTTTTTAGTGATTAACGTTAGATGAAAGCGCTATTTGCTTGCTTTCTAGGCAGGCTATAATCGATTCAGAATTTAAATAAAAGTTGTTTTACGTGCTGCAAACAGGACCAACAGCCACATGCCCTGTACATGCAGCAAAGTTTCAGGAGTGACATATATCCCCCATCCCTCATATAAATACAGGATTCACTTATAGCTTGTTTACAATCAGGGTTAGTTGCTTAGCCTATATCCATCGTCTTAATGGCAGGCAAGTATTTCAATTTAGTTTAAAAACCTTTATAACATAAGGATCACGTCCAACATGTTGTGATTATCATGTGGCTGTTGGTCCTGTTAGCAGCACGTAAAACAAAACTATTCAAATTCTGAATTGATTATACCTGCCTAGAAAGCGAGCAAATAGCGGTTCCATATAATCACTAAAAAGCTGCCACTCACTTCAATTGATCACAATCTCACGATGTTCCTTTATAATCAGTGAAGCTCTCTGAACTGCAAATAATATCTTATTTACGTGTCTACGTGTGGCGTTTAGCACTGAGTGAATTCTGACTGTCACAATGCGTGCGTGAGAGGTGGCAGCCCAATCTATATCTTTATAAATATCTTAATATATTATTATATCCTATAATAACCATTTACACGCACAAGCATTATTATTACACGAGCTTCGCTCCTCCCGACCGCAGACGCAGGTTTACAAGCCACTTTTTCCTGCGTTTTTCAATCAATTTCTTGACTTTTCCCCACTTATGAACAACACATTTTCGTACACGATAAAAGCTCCTTGTGGTTTCTCGGTTTGGCCAATGTAAGCATCCATAAACAACGCAAAACACTGGCATTTGGAGTTTCTGCTAGTGATTCCTATGGAGAGAAAAATCACTTCCTGCCCTCCAGCTGCATTTCGCGCGTCATCAGTGACGTCATGTGCAAACAACCTATTAATAGTTAGTTAATAGTGAGATCTGGAACTTAAAATAAGGTGTGACTATAAAACGCATAGCAACACCCTGGTAACCATCCAAAACACTCTTCTAAAAAGCATAGCAATGCCCTGGTAACCATCCATAGCAATGTGTCTGTATTTAATACTTTCATTCAGCAAAGATTCATTAAATTGATCAAACGTGACAGTAAAGACATTTATAATACTACAAAATATTTCTATTTTAAACAATACTGTTCTTTTTGCACTTTCTATTCATCAAAGAATGCAAAAAAAAAAATGTATCCACAAAGTTTCCACAAAAATATTAAACAGCACAACTGTTTTCAACATCGATAATAACAGCAAAATCAGCATTTTGGATTGGAGAAATTCAGCTTTGCATCACAGGAATAAATTACATTTTAAAAGATATTTAAATAGAAAACAGTTATTTGAAATTGTAAAATTATTTCACAATATTACACTTTTTACTGTATTTTTGATCAAATAAATGCAGCCTTGGTGAGACTTCTTTCAAAAACTTGACAAATCTTTTGACTAGAAGTGTATGTGAGATACAAAAGTTAAATGGGTCGTGATTCCCGTTTCAAGTTGACTTTCAATTTTCACTACAGCTGAAATCCTAGTAATTGTAAATGCTGTAAATGTGATCTTACAGACACAGGGGCTTGACTGACTATGTTTGGCTGTGAATAGATTTAATTAACGACTGAAGTATCATTTGATCATTTAATTGAGAGTATCAAGGGACTGAGCACCTATTAATAGTTAGTTAATAGTGAGATCTGGAACTTAAAATAAGGTGTGACTATAAAACGCATAGCAACACCCTGGTAACCATCCAAAACACTCTTCTAAAAAGCATAGCAATGCCCTGGTAACCATCCATAGCAATGTGTCTGTATTTAATACTTTCATTCAGCAAAGATTCATTAAATTGATCAAACGTGACAGTAAAGACATTTATAATACTACAAAATATTTCTATTTTAAACAATACTGTTCTTTTTGCACTTTCTATTCATCAAAGAATGCAAAAAAAAAAATGTATCCACAAAGTTTCCACAAAAATATTAAACAGCACAACTGTTTTCAACATCGATAATAACAGCAAAATCAGCATTTTGGATTGGAGAAATTCAGCTTTGCATCACAGGAATAAATTACATTTTAAAAGATATTTAAATAGAAAACAGTTATTTGAAATTGTAAAATTATTTCACAATATTACACTTTTTACTGTATTTTTGATCAAATAAATGCAGCCTTGGTGAGACTTCTTTCAAAAACTTGACAAATCTTTTGACTAGAAGTGTATGTGAGATACAAAAGTTAAATGGGTCGTGATTCCCGTTTCAAGTTGACTTTCAATTTTCGCTACAGCTGAAATCCTAGTAATTGTAAATGCTGTAAATGTGATCTTACAGACACAGGGGGCTTGACTGACTATGTTTGGCTGTGAATAGATTTAATTAACGACTGAAGTATCATTTGATCATTTAATTGAGAGTATCAAGGGACTGAGCTGTTTGCCTAATAAACTGCGTATTAAATAATTAACAAGTGTGGCCTATTCGACCGTTTTGGACAAATCGCAATTAAGCAGCGCAAACACAGATCTTATTTTCTACTGTCTGTGTGTGTGTAGCCTTGTTCCACTCATATTTTCTCCCACTGGATTACCAAACGTCATGACTTTTAGCTCAGCCTTTGAGCTTGTAGAAAACCCATTTGCCCAGCTGCTGAAGAAGTGTCCTTGGAGGGAATGAAAAGAAACAGTGAGGGGTGGAGAGATGTCTTTCTGTACTTTCCTTTGCTCTTAAGCACTCCATTTTTCCTCTGCAGGGTGAAGTGAACGCTAACAGTCTCCCGCTAGAGGACCTGTCCATTCAGCATCCCCAGGTGAGGCCCGGCTGGCGCTGACTGTGTTGCTGTGATTCATCTTGATTCGGTGGCCCTGACGCTCTGTGCTGTGAGGCGGCTGGTCTCTGGGTGGTCTGGACACAACCCTGGGGGCCGACTGGCCTTGAGGGAGCCTGTTAAACTTAATATCTCAAATAAAGAGTAAGAGTGGATGCCTGCTGCAGCAGCATCTGGAAAAGAGTCTCTGCTCCAAAACCTAGTGAGCCATCTGTGTAGGGAGCATTTTAATGCATCATAGCTGCACTTCGGACACAAAGACTGTTTGAAGTGGTAGCTTCTTTCAATTGCATTTATCCTTTGTAAAGAAGGCAATCACATGATGCACTGCAGTGATTTTTTAGTACTGTTTATATACTTTTACAGTTTTTATAAATATTTTAAATGAACTTTTATTTTTTTCAGTTTTCATTAAAAATTTTTGTACATTTAGTATTTCTTGTGCTTCCGCTTTTGTTTAATTGTAGTTAATGATATTATAACCCTGATGCATTGTGATAAAAACGTTGAACAAAATGTGAGAAAATTATTCAATAAAATTAATTCAGTTTATTAAATTAAGGATGCACCAATATTAAACTTCTGATATGGCTAATAACTGATACATGGCTGATATTAAAATGTATGCTATTTTTATTTGAGTGAATGAAACATCTTAACTAAAAATTAATCCATTTAAATCTTCAAGTAAATTTTGGCATCAAAACATTGTAATATCCTGTATGAAAAATTTATTTTCATTTTAAGATTTGCTTAAAATTATTTTTACTATTAATTATAGTATTTATTAATAGCTTATATTTTACAATTTTCTGAATTTTAGTTTAATTATTAGTACATTTGTTATGGGCTTTTGTCATTTCATTAGTTTATATATTTAATTTTTAATTTATAATTTAGGATTTAATTTATTTTTATTTCAGTTTTAGTCATTTTAGTACTTCATCTTAAATTTCATTTAGTTGCCAGTGCAACATTTCTAATTTTCATTTAGGTTTTTAAGTTTTTCACATTTTATTTTATTTTATTTTATTTTATTTTATTTTATTTTATAAAAAAAAAAAATTTAATTTAGTTTTAGTCCATAACAACACTGACTTTTTATGGAAATAATAATAGAGGTATGTGCAAATAAATATCATATATCGGCCAACATAGATATCCTGACTAGAGTAATTTTGCTTCACATCTCCAGCATAATGCTTATTTCCTCAAGACCTGTGTGTAAACTGCAGCTTGTGCCGTGTAAAGATCTTTTAACCTCAACGTCCAGAGCACTTTGACATTAGCAAGTAACTTACCATCATGTTGTGTGTTTCTGTCCAGGTTCAACCGTTGGAGAAACCCTCGGGCTCTCAGGGAGCGGTGAACATGGTCCTGAGGTTAAGGTGAGCGAGCACATTGCCGTTACTCTTTTCTCCATCCCTCTTTGTACTTCTTTTATGTGGAAAGAGCGGCATGTATAAAGTGGCCTGATAGTGCAGTGTGTGTGTGTGTGTGTGTGTGTGTGTGCGCTGCTGAAAGAAGTGTTTGTCTCTTTTTAAACGATCGCTTTCAGTCCATCTCTCGTCTCATGTTGAAGTGCATCGTGTTAATGCATTTTCTCAATCGCCCTGGGTTAGCGTGGGAAGCGGTGCTTTAACCCTGACCTCGTGTTTGCATTCTCCTGCCTGAATTTGTGTTTGAGCCCATGCAAAAGACAGATGACGATATGTTCTCAGATCACGTGTAAGGCCAGAAAAGCTGAAGCGAGTGTTTGACAAAACCATTGCGAGAGCATGGTTGTGTTTTACTTATTTAAAGATAGACATTTCGACCAGCTTGCATTGTGAAGCAGCTTATCGACCAAAGAAAAACGTAAGCCGGGACTTGAGTTCATTCATCAGTTGTTGATTGGACTGTGAGAAGTGAGCATTACATACCAGAATGAAGGTGGATGTAAATTTGTGACCCTGGACCACAAAACCAGTCTTGAGTGTCAATTTTTCGAAATTGAGATTCATGCATCATCTGAAAGCTGAATAAATAAGCTTTGCATTGATGTATGGTTTGTTATGATAGGACAATATTTGGCCGAGATGCAACTATTTGAAAATCTGGAATCTGAGGGTGCAAAAAAAATCAAAATACTAAGAAAATCGCCTTTAAAGTTGTCCAAATGAAGTTCTTAGCAATGCATATTACTAATCAAAAATTAAGTTTTAATATATGTACAGTAGGAAATTTACAAAATATCTTTTTGGAACATGATCTTTACTTAATATCCTAATGATTTTTGACATAAAAGAAAAATGGATAATTTTGACCCATGCAATGTATTGTTGGCTATTGCTACAAATATACCGCAGCGACCTTGTGCTCCAGGGTCACATATGAGTCAGTCATATTACAGGAAGAGCAAGTTATGACATTTTGATTGTCCAATATGAATCGTTCACAATAAGACCATTAACAAATACAGTAAGTATGTTCTATTTTGATGTCATGGGGACTTTAAAGTCCTAATGAAATGGAAGTAGCGACAGATCTTTTTTCCTGATTGTGAGGTATATCAGAGTGTAATCATATTTATAATCATATTCCTGCATCATATTTGCTTAATGAAATAGAATTCTTGTTTCTTAATAATGCTGGGGTGCTGATTGCAAAAACAGTGTCTGTTTTGCTCTAGCGAGTCACACTTTTTTTTTTTTGCATTTTTTCATTTGACAACCATTTGTAAAGTGAAGAAGTCTTATATTATCCCTTAATATATCCCAGCCCATGCAAAAGACAGATGACGATATGTTCTCAGATCACGTGTAAGGCCAGAAAAGCTGAAGCGAGTGTTTGACAAAACCATTGCGAGAGCATGGTTGTGTTTTACTTATTTAAAGATAGACATTTCGACCAGCTTGCATTGTGAAGCAGCTTATCGACCAAAGAAAAACGTAAGCCGGGACTTGAGTTCATTCATCAGTTGTTGATTGGACTGTGAGAAGTGAGCATTACATACCAGAATGAAGGTGGATGTAAATTTGTGACCCTGGACCACAAAACCAGTCTTGAGTGTCAATTTTTCGAAATTGAGATTCATGCATCATCTGAAAGCTGAATAAATAAGCTTTGCATTGATGTATGGTTTGTTATGATAGGACAATATTTGGCCGAGATGCAACTATTTGAAAATCTGGAATCTGAGGGTGCAAAAAAAATCAAAATACTAAGAAAATCGCCTTTAAAGTTGTCCAAATGAAGTTCTTAGCAATGCATATTACTAATCAAAAATTAAGTTTTAATATATGTACAGTAGGAAATTTACAAAATATCTTTTTGGAACATGATCTTTACTTAATATCCTAATGATTTTTGACATAAAAGAAAAATGGATAATTTTGACCCATGCAATGTATTGTTGGCTATTGCTACAAATATACCGCAGCGACCTTGTGCTCCAGGGTCACATATGAGTCAGTCATATTACAGGAAGAGCAAGTTATGACATTTTGATTGTCCAATATGAATCGTTCACAATAAGACCATTAACAAATACAGTAAGTATGTTCTATTTTGATGTCATGGGGACTTTAAAGTCCTAATGAAATGGAAGTAGCGACAGATCTTTTTTCCTGATTGTGAGGTATATCAGAGTGTAATCATATTTATAATCATATTCCTGCATCATATTTGCTTAATGAAATAGAATTCTTGTTTCTTAATAATGCTGGGGTGCTGATTGCAAAAACAGTGTCTGTTTTGCTCTAGCGAGTCACACTTTTTTTTTTTGCATTTTTTCATTTGACAACCATTTGTAAAGTGAAGAAGTCTTATATTATCCCTTAATATATCCCTTAAAAAAATGCCACAAAGACATGATTCTCATCTTCCTCGGAGCCAGGTTGCAATTCTGATTTTCATGTGTATGAATGATTCTGAACACGTTATTTTATGCCTAATCCTGATTTCCACTTTTTCTCCAGATTGTAAGTTAAATGATGCATATTGAATAATTTATTTTTGTCATTAAATTGGAGACTTTTGTCTGCTTTTGTTATTTTTTTTAAGCGCATTAAAACTGATGCATGTGTGTAATTTGAAAAATAATTCTTATTTTGTGAAAAGGTGATGGCATTTTTCTTTCTTTCATCAAATTAGGTCATATTAGGCCTTTTTGCAAAACAGCATTATTAGCATTATTCATTGATAAAGTTAGTTTTTATGTAGAAATGCAACAGGCATAATTAATGTTCTCAGTCCAGACATGTTTATTATTGCTGATGAACCTAATGAATTAATCAAGAAAACTGGATTTCCAATGACCAATCAACTGCATCAAATACTGTAGAAAATCATTTCAAAAGGCTTTACAGGTTTTGTCTTATTGGTCAGGTCTGAAAAAAATTCATGAAATTTGTTGATTATAACAGGTCTAGGTCAAAGGTCAATAGTCATATAACACAAACATGACCCTGTTTACTTTCTTAATGAACATTTTTTGGTCTTATTTTGACCAAGTCATTAATTGTCTTTGTAAAATTTAATTAAAATGCATTTTTAAGTCTAGTTTTCATTTTCAGTGATGGCCACAGGGGTTATTAGTAATATTAACCAGTAGCCAAATAACTATTTAGTGTAATCATATGTATAATCATATTCCTGCATTATATTTGCTTAATGAAATCCAATACTTGATGGGGTGCTGATTGCAAAAACAGTGGCTTTTTTGCTCTAGCAAGTCACACTTAATGAACAGTAGCCAAATAACTATTTAGGCATTGCTTTAGCAAACTCTTATTCAGTCTGGCTTAATTTTGTTATTTGGTCCACTCAATTCCCCAAAAAGTTCAACCCTAAATATTCTGTACCCCACAGAATTATGCCACATCATGGAAGCAAAATGGGCTTTTCACATTGATAATACATTGACTGATTTTGTTTTAACATAATGTGGTTCATAAAGGGCTAAATATTTAGTTGTTTTAATGATGCTTTTAGTTACCAGTAAGAGTGTAGTACTCTGTTCAACACATTTTACCTTTTAAATCTAGCAGAACTCGGGTTTTTCCCACAGAGTCGGCACAGAAAAAAAAATGCCTACAGGTTGTGTGGTTCACCGGCATGTTCACAACTAATGATTACATTGAAATCTTTCTGTCTTTCAACCAATTACCCTCAACAGCCTCAGTTTGGAATGACAGAGAGAATGAAGCGTGTGAAGAGGCTTTTTCAATTATTTGCATTGAAACTTCTAAACAACATTGATTCAGTGCCAAAAACAGACACCTAATCAAGCTGCACGGACAGCTGAGTTTGAACAGAGAGAGAGAGGTTGCTGTAAACAGATGCAGGAGAACAGAGACGAATGGCTCGCATCCATTTGCACAGTGAGGTCAGCAGCGAGAGCAGGTGTTCGGCTCATCAAAACGGATCAGGATAATGGGTAGGAAAGCGAGGGATAGACTTGTTTGTGTGTGCTTGCTAAATGATTTCAAATGACTTTAATTAACTCTGCAAATAATTCTTGACATAAATACACACAAGTGAATCTGTGAACGTGCCGTTAGAGGCTGATCGGTAAAGCTGTATGCAAACGTTCTCTTATGATTACCTGTCCGAAGCTGAGATTGACCCAGGATGGTCTGAATATTTGGCTCGATTATGAAATCCATTTCGGTTGGGTCTTTGTTTGGCGGTGTGTAAAGGTTGGACCTCAATAATGCTTGTATAAATCTACAGACCTGGTGCAATGGAAATGTTTGCACGTGATGCCATCTAAATACACAGATTTAAAGGAATAGTTCACCCAAAATTGAAAATATGCAGAAAAGTCACTCACCCTCAGGTCATCCGAGATGCAGTTGAGTTTGTTTCTTCATCAGAACAGATTTGGAGAAATGTAGCATTGCATCACTTGCTCACCAATGGATGCTCTGCAGTGAATGGGTTCCGTCAGAATGAGAGTCCAAACAGCTGATAAAAACATCACATCATTAAGATAACTTTATAAGGTCGCTTCTGGCTATAATGCAATTCCTCTATCCAGAATATTGCTTTCAGTGAAAAAGTCTGAATCAGGAGAGAAATTTGCACAGATCATGGACTGTTTACAACAGTTCTGAACAAATATTTTTGTGGATTTTGATGTGAGATGACAACAAAGGATGGACTTTCTCACTAGAGGAAGCGTTATTATGGATTGGATATGGATGGTTAAACGTAAAAATGCCTTAATGATGGGTTTGTTTCTTACAAACATGCAGCTTTTCACTTCACAAGACATTAACTGATGGGCTGGAGTGGTGTGGATTACTTGTGGATTATTGTGATGTTTTTATCCGCTGTTTGGACTCTCATTCTGACGGCACCCATTCACTGCAGATGATCCATTGGTGAGCAAGTGATGAAGAAA